TCATCTAATCCAACTTTCTACCCAAAGACAGCAGGGTTGGAAGAAGTATTCCGCAATAACTAGACTCATCTAATCCAACTTTCTACCCAAAGACAGCAGGGTTGGAAGAAGTATTCCACAATAACTAGACTCTAGAAGCAAAATACATGGGAGGTGGGGGTTCAGTCTTCTCCATACCTCATTTGCATTTGCTTGGGATAAGGCCAACCACCCAACAATCAATCCAGCCAGATCAAATTATAAAATCAAAATTGCAATTTTAAAAAGTTCAACAGTAAAAAAAAGAAAAAACACAGAAAAAAAGCTTTGTTCCTCGGCATAGCTAAGCTCCAAGAACAGGGCGTGTGGAATTTGTGGGAGGGGGGGGAGTTCCAGATCTGCAAAAAAAGTAAACTGTCCAAATTATGAGTCACATGTTACATCTCCCCAAGTGGCAGCTTTCATCATAAAATTTATGCCAGTTACGACCGAGGCAATTAGATTTTCCATCTGTGCATTTTGCAAGGAAAAGCTACAATTTACACATGTGTGTGCCCTTTCCATAAAGGTTGCTATGTATGTAGGCATCAAACTTGGTTCCCAAGCAACATTCAAACAGTCCCTGCTAAAATGACCTTCAATCACTAAGCTTCACTGGATTTAGGGGTGGGGAAGGAGGAAAGTCACTGTAAATAATACTGTAAGAATTGGCAGTTTTATTCCTTATTGGAGATAAAAGGCTTAAAGTTCAGCCATTTTACAATTCCCTTACAATATATGCCTGCACTTCTGTTGCTATCACTGCACAACTTTGAGACCCCTTACATTTCTATCATAACATCCATCTCAAAAAGATAAATAATGAATCATAACTAATTCCTCTGGTTAAAAAGAACAAAAATAAGAGATTTCTTAGAACAAAACCTAGGTTTATGAAGAGAAGGAGAACAACGCTATGTATTTGGTTATCAAAGTTGGGGGGGAAGTGAACATACTTTACCAAAGTAAAAAAACAAAAAAATGAACACTTTTTATTCTAAATAAATAAAAAGTATATAGAACCCCAAATGTTTGTATAATATTGGTTTAATTATAGGAGTTGCCATTTTACTGAATACAATGAGAAAAGTTGTCTGTTTCATCAGATTGCACAATCTATTTCTGCCATATCAGCTCTTGTTTCACACTGGGCAAAGAAGTAGATTTAGACTTATTAGGAAAAAACAATCTCTGATCCCCTTTGACTGATCCAGATTGGATCCTGCAACATTATCCCGGAACACATAAATTTGCCATCATTCATGTTAGGAAGTTCTCCTATATTCAAGGCCACTGCTGTTGGGCAGCTAAAGGCTATGGTTGAGAGCTTTATCTAACAGACCAGCTGCAGCTCTATCTGAATTATGAGATTCTTGCATGGGGACATATAGTCTTTGTCACTTTGAAACTAGATCACTGCAATGCTCTATACATGGGACTACCTTTGAACACTATTCAGAAATGGTTATTGAGTGCCTCAGTTTATGGTGGATGTTACCTGTCAACAGCACATTTTGCCTGAACTTCAGGCCTATGTTGGTGGCCAATATGCTTCTAAATGCAATTCAGAGTTACAAAATCAGTTGTTTTTCTGTTGCTGGCTTGGCCCTATTGAATAGTCTCCTCCCCAAAATTAAAGCTTGTTCATCTATTCTAGCTTCAAAAAGCTCCTTTTCCACAGATGTCTGGTAGTTTCTGGGTTATGAGTTTTGCCATTATTTTATTATTTCATGTACTTTTACTCACTTCGTGGGGAGATAAGTAGCAAACAAAATAGATATACAAATAAAAATTATAAATTTGTTTTAATTATTTTAGCACCATCCTGTACTTTTACTACAGACATTTTAAATGCTGAACATTGTGAATGTTTCATTTTTAATTGCTATTCTAAACTGCCATGAGTCTCAAATAATTTGATGGGATATAAATGCAATAAATATGTGTTTAAATATGTGAAGTCATATAAGATTATTTGTCATGGTAACTGAGAATTTCACATAACTGCATTGGGAATTTCTTTTTTAAAATTTTATTCTATTTTTCATCTTCTTCACCTGACAATGAAGATTTGACTTATGTCCTACTTTTATCTTTGATCAACTCAAGGCAACAAAAGCTCCTGTCTTCTTTTTTCTTCATAGCAACAAGCCTATGATGAAGGTTGGGCTATATGACAGTGACTGGTCCAAAGTTATTCAAGAAAATTTTATAGTTGGGGGAGGCTTCTAAGAAATGGGGTGAGGGAGAGAAAGAAAAATTATCCGTTTATCTTTAACCCAAATCCTCAAGCTTGAACATTATAGTTGATTTATTCTCTAAGTGGGATATATATCTGAAAATTGGAATTTTGTATGAACTATCTTCAATTCTTTCAAACATTTCAATCTTGAATATTTCACTTGAAATATATTGAACAAGTTTAAGCATACTACTAACAATAGGGGTACAAAAAAATCCACCAGGGCTCCAGACTTCACAAAAGAACGAGGATCAAGACCAGCATTTTTCTTCAAGTTTTAGATTGCAACTAATTTTACTCTTTGCTATCTTGGCAATATCAGCTGGAATGAAGAGAGTTCTAGATAAATATACCCAGAAAGAACTCAATGGGAAAGATTGGACCCTGAATAGAAAATCTATCAGCATTCCATAGTACAATTTGCAAGGTGTGATTGCTGGTCTAGAAGTAATGTAGAATTCCACAATTATTTTTGTCTCACAGGTGTATTTCAATTTTTTTTACACGGGGTGAAGGAGCTCCAAAAAGATTGATAACCTCAACATGAAAAAAGTTCAGTCTTTGCACCAGACTTGATCTTGGGTTCAGGGTTTTCCAAAACTTCTCTCAATTCTTTCTTCTGAGGGACATAACAATAAGAACAATGTACCTTTAATTTTTGCTACCAAATTTGCCTAAATTTCAATGTTTCCTTTCATTTAGGAACTTTTAAGCACTCTTTAAAGAAAAACAATGAAGGTAGCTCTGAACTTACAACATAGTTGGAACTAGAATTTCCACTGCTAAGTCAGATGGTTATTAGATGAGTTGTATTTAATTTTGTGACCCTTCTTGCTACGGTTAACTGAACCGCTGCAGTTGTTAAGTGAATTGTGCAGTAGTTAAGCAAATTTGGCTCCCCCATTGACTTGTTTGTTGGAAGCCAGGTGAGAAGGCCGCAAATGGTGATCATATGTCCACAGGATGCTGCAATCATTATAAAGATATACTGGTTGCTAAGTGTCCAAAATTAATCACGTGATCCAGGGATCCTACAATGGTTGTAAGTGCAAGAACCAGCCATAAGTCATTTTTTTTACTGCCATTGCAATTTTGGTTATTAAATGAATGGTTGTAAATTGAGACTACCTGTATCAGAAGGAAAGCTGATATGACAATCTGCAGCAAAGTGTCCTCAATCTATAAAATCTAAAATTTATTGATGGTTCGGAGAGGTGATAAATGGTTGAATAGGAGTAGCAGCAACGAAGGCAAGTTCTTAATGGCTTAACTGTTTTTGGAATTAGAAATGAGAGTATATAGGGTAAGTTAACAGGAATTTAAATTGACAAAAGAATCAAGGGAATAAAAATGAAACTGGAGAATAATGCATGAGTAAAATCACTTCCTGATCACAGAAAAATCCCAAATGATCAACCCCTTCTGCTTTCAAAAAACGTTTACATGTTTTACACATTTCAGAAGGGGATTCCACATCTTCATATAAAGTTATGAGAAAATAAAGAAGCAGAACAAACTGCTGTTAACTTGCTACAAAAAGGCATGCTACTGTTTAGGCATGAAGGCCAACTAGTAGTTGGAAGGTAAAATTATTAAACTTATTTATCTGTCATAAACTCCTTTTGCTATGAACAGCACAGCCTCATAAACAAATTGGGTGTGACAAACACAACTTGCTTGTTAACAAGGATATAGCAGTGTTTGATTACGTAAATGTTACTTGAAGGCAATGAAAGAAAACTCTAATGTTTTGAAACAACTCACTATTCTTTCCTAGATAGCCTGATCAGCAGAGATTGCAATGGCAAACTAGAAACGAAAGTGTATCGAAAAACCACCCAATAATAATAATCCTTAACTCTGTGTAAGAACCCTATTCAGATGAGTACAAACAACTCAGCAGCCCTGAACAGCAGAAAAAGGAATAGAGCATCAATACAGTATCTTCCAACAAAATGGATATCCATGCAACTTCATCAAAAGTGCCTGACCTCTCAACCCAATATAACACAAGCTGTAAAAAGGATAACACTACCAAACATTTAAAAAAAAAAATAAGAAATCACTAATGGACCATTACAACCACTTGGAATCAGTATAGCACACAAACTAACTAAAACCTTCCAAAGCATCCTAAGTTAACCAAAAGACCCGATAACCCCAGAAGAAAAAACAAGAATCATCTAAATGTAGAGTGTAAAAACTGCAACAGCCACTACATAGAACAAACAGACAGAAAACTAATAGAAACATCTATAAACACCAACTAGCAGTCAAAAACATGATGAAAAACTCTAACTTCACAACATATCAACAGCCATGGTTTCTGCATATCTTAGACCAGTGGTTCCCAACCTTTTTTTCGCCCCGCACCCCTAAAGAAATTTCACTTGAACCTCGCACCCCCTGAAATAAATAATAAATAAAAATGCCAACATATAGCAAATATACTATTATTTACCTGGACTTTTCTCGCACCCCCTGGAATATCGTCTCGCACCCCAGGTTGGGAACCCCTGTCTTAGACCAAGCCAAGTCCAAAAAGGCTAGAAAATTCCAGGAAGCCTGGCCCTCTAACAAATTGGCCATCAATAGGCACACATAGATATAAATATCTACATATTGTGCAAGAGACAATCAACAAGCCAAAGAGAGCAAAGCATCTCCACACCAGCAATCAGCACTCAGATTAGCATAGATTAACACCAAGACTATCATCAGATCAACAATTAAGAAGTAAACAATACCCAAATAAAAGAATTGCCAAATTCTTTGCCCAACCAAAGAGAATTGCTCAACCAAAGAGAGCGAACAGCCCTGAGCACTGAGAGAGCAAACTACTAAAATATAAACTGACAATTAAACTGCACCCCTTATTAGCACTGATGATGTCACCTTGTTTGGATAATGAAATTGTGCAAGCAAACCACCAAATTCAGAGGGCACCAAGGAAACCTTGCCCTCCCTCATTTTAACCCTGATCTTCAGATATTCTCCTTTATTGGAATATCTGTCCACCCACAGATGACTCTGCAGGCATATTCAGGCAGTGGACTCTAGCCACCCACTCTCAGCATAACCTACCTCACAGGATTGGTTTTTTTTTGGGGGGGGGGGGAATGGAAGGTACAACAATTATGTACACTTCCTTAAACTCGGGAAGAAAAGGTGGGCTATAAATCAAACAGATTATAAATCCATAGAACGTGATTGCCTGTCTTCCCAATCTACTCTCTTTTACATGTTTTACCGCAGTGTTTAATGCTGTTGTCCAAAATATCTGGAAAGACAGCAGAGATTGGGAATTGTTGATTTATACCGTATTAGATGCATCTTTCAATCCATTAAAACGGTTGTTTCAATCTCTCGCCTTCCTTAACATTTCAATAACAAATGCCGTAAAGCTTAAAAAGATTCTATGTTATAATTCACTAAGTCTACGGAAAATTACCATAGATTTTGTCCGCCCGCGTAAACACTGAAACCCCAACTCTGCAATACAGGAAAAACGTTAACGCTGTTTTAAAGCTTACTACATTAATTAATGTTACATTATTTATTCTGAATAACCTATCGGGCAACACCATATAAAAGAACTGCTTTTTATTATTGAAGACTGGAGAATATTAAAGTATTAATCCATATGATTTAAGAGTGCCTGCAAGGCACGCTTTTCGCCGCTGCAACCACTGCATAAGGATTTACCTGGTCAACCGCTGCCTCAATTTCCCATCGACAAGGGGAATCAAACGAAAAAAAAGCGGAAGTCACCTCAATTTGAGTCTCACACTATTTCCGGTCACATGGTTAAATGTGACCACGCATAGCCGGAAGAGACCCCCCTCCTGCAGTTTCGATTACTCCGAACGAGAAACCAAACGGTGGGGCGGAGTCAAACGTTCTAAACCGGGCTGAGGGGGCGGGGCATGGAAGACAGAGTGGCATTTCTACTGGCTAAGGCGATGGGCAGAGGAGGCCACGCCCATTGGCTGAGAGCAAATAGATTTGATTGGTTAAGAAGAGGGAACGAGGTATTTCAGAGCGCGAAACTGAGTGTAAATAAAGAGGTGTAAATAATTTGGGGGGGGGGGGGGGCAGCAAACTGGTGATAAGAGCAAGAGATTTCTCGGATGTACCAATTAATGGGCGGCCAGTGACGGCATGCTATTTGCTTCCAAGCAGAACAACATTAACCGAAGAAAGAAAAACAAACGCAAGAGGGACGATCGGCAGCTCCTTGTGAAGAGGCGGAGTCTCGGGACTCTTCCCCGGAAAGGTTGGATTCTGGGAGCGTTTGCCCGCAAGCCCAGCGGGCACGTAGCTTGAATCCGCCTTCCCCCGTTTATATTCTTTGTTTAAGATGGCTGCGTTCCACTTTTGAGTTAGCAAACCGTAAATCACCTCGAAGAAGGCTGGTTCTTGGGTTGTTGTTTTTTTTTTTTTGTATGATTGTGGCTTGTCCCCTTTTGTGACTGACCCAAGTTTTTCATTCGTTTCTAATCTCAGCAGATGGCAGCACCTGACTTACCTGCAGATGGCAGTACCTGACTTACCTGCTCTGGGCTCGTTAGTATTTGGATGAAAGTCCCAAAGGTGCTTCCCCTCCCTCCAAGAGGCCACACAAGAGGACTTTCTGGGTTTTTTTATAAGACCTTTCGCTTCTTGGATGAGAAGTGAAACGTCTTTAAAAAAACAACAACACACCCCAGCCAGTCCAGTTGCCTCTTGGAAAAAAAAGCACTTTTGGGACACCGGTGACCTGGATGACTGAGAATCTCCATAGACATTTGGATGAAAGATCTCAAGAAGAAGAAAACCAGACCCGTAGGTTAGCCATAGGAAGTGAGAAGAAATCTTGGAATAAAGCAGTGGCAAATCATTGCTGCAGTGCTGGCCAGAAAACTATGGATCAGGGATATCTTCCATTCTTAAATGTGTGTGTGAGAGAGAGAGAAAGAGAGAGAGAGAGAAGAAAAGGTATTTACTTTCTTTCTGTCAGAGTTCTAAGGAACGATATGACCTCTGTTGTTTCTCGAGAGTAACCGTTCAACCTCTTCTCACTCTCAGGTCTATCTTAAATATTCGGTTCATCTTCGTTGCCATTCTCTGAACCTAATTTCTTCCATTTAAAATATGTGCCCAGAACTAGATGCAGTATGCAAGAAAAATATTGTTATCCCATCTGTTTCCATACAGTATACATAACTCAAGGCATCAGATACCTAATCCTCCTGTCTCATGTTTTCCTTACAATAACAGCCCGGTAGGCCAGATTGAGAAGTATTGGCCAAAGGAAGCCTGAAATAAGAGTTTTCTAGTTTTTAAGTCAGCATCTTAGCTGCTACATTAAATTGGCCCTCAGTACCAATATGTCCCCTATAGAGAGGAGTGATTACAGTACAGTCAGCGATATGCAATTTTATAGTTTTTGTAGTTGCATCATATTGATGGCTCACCAGTGTATATTTGATGTTTGTACATGTGCAGTTTCTGATGACTCCAAGTACAAAATTATAACCAAAGGAAACCATGTTTATAGACACTTTCATTGGGATAATCACCAATTACGTTCCTTATTTACTGCCAGCTTTGATCCCAAGAATTTCTGTCTGTATGTAGGGTTTTTAAAAAAGTTGATTATATAGAACTGCTTTTGATATTTTGGTGACCAGTTTGGTATAGTCATAGTGGTTAAGGGATCAGGATAGAAATTTGTAGACCATGAATTCTCATCCTGCCTTAGCATGAAGGTGACTGGGTGATCTTGGGCCAGTCATTCTCCTGCCTAGGAGGCAGGTAATGAGAAACCACTTTTGAAATAGTGCCAAGAAAACTACATTAACTTGCCTATTTTGGTACTCATAATGTCATACTTTAGGGGACACAGTGGCTCAGTGGCTAAGACGCTGAGCTTGTCGATCAGAAAGGTCGGCAGTTAGGCGGTTCAAATCCCTAGCATCACGTAATGGAGTGAACTCCTGTTACTTGTCCTAGCTTCTGCCAACCTACAAGTTTGAACGCATGTAAAATGCAAGTAGAAAAATAGGGACCGCTTTGGTGGAAAGGCTCCATACGCCTTCAGCGTTGAGTCATGCCGGCCACATGACCATGGAGATGTCTTCGAACAGCGCTGGCTCTTCGGCTTTGTGACAAAGATGAGCACCGCCCCCTAAAGCCAGAAACAATTAGCATGTATGTGTGAGGGAAACTTTTCCTTTGTCATACTTTGAATGACTTTCCAGTTTGAAAATTGTCAATTTATTCTATTGTTTTCTGCTCTTTGATCAGTTAATAAAAAATGTATGTCTTCCTGTTCCACGATTGCTGAGTTTCTTTTTACCTTTTGTGAATGACCATTTATTTATTTATTAGATTTTTATATCAAGTTTTGGAATTCCCAGTACTTGTTCTATTTAATGTTGTAGCACTTGTCAATCATTCTTTAGATGTTGACAGTTTGCAGTTATATTTAATAGCTGTGAGCTGAATTGCTTGCAGTTTTGTTAATTTAAATGATTTTGTCTTCATTTGGTTTCTTTCTGGTTTGAACAATAAAGCATTAAATGTGTATCAGACAAACCATCAGGAAAGTTTTAAAGCTGTATCTTATTTCTTTGGAATAGAGGCAATAATCACCATTTGTCAAAAACGCTTTGCTTATGTCTGTTAGATTTCCTTAAGAAAGGAGCTCTTTAGAGCCACTAGCAATAGGGCTTCTGTCCTTCATTTCTGCTGAAGGTGTTACTGGAAAATAAACACTTCTGCTTCCTACCTCCCAAAGCTATTTATGATTTGTTTGGTTTTAGTTTTACCTGTACCATGGTTAAGCAAATATTTTCCTTCAAGTACTGTGCTGCTTCAGTATGGAGGAAGAGGAGCTGTTGTTTTTGAGTGGGAGAATGAAGAATTCTGGGAAACTACAAGAAGAGGGATGAAGTTTATTCCAGCAGTCCAGTTAAATCACAGAGGCAACTACATTAAGCAACAGTCATATAAGAAGCTATTAGTGTAGAAGGCAATAGTAAACCACCCCATCATGCTTTTATCTCATCTTCAGGTGCTGGGTTCTTTTTACAGATGGCTGTGAAGATTTGTTGACCACTGCTCCTATTACAGAACACTCAGTAGGAACAGTGCGAAGAGAAATTTTTCATGATGTTGCTGTTGATATTACAATGATCTCATTGCTGTTCCCGCCTTATAAAAGTGAGATCTAACATTTCAGAGTCATGTGCATTACTGTTTCTGCTACGTGTGTAATGGAGCAATGATGGAAAATGATTTTCATGGTAGTCTTAACTCTCAGTATTCATCTTGCCGTTGCTCTTCCTCCAGGCCTATTTTTTATTTTAAAAAGAGAAGGTAAGTGCTTTCTGTAGAACTCTCTCACAAATGGTGAACATGACTTTTAAAGAGGTATAGCATCATTTTTCAAGAATACCAAACACAAGTTAATACAGGTAGTCCTTGACTTACAACAGTTCATTTAGTGACAAATGTTACAATGGCACTAAAAACTGACATGACCATTTTTCACACAAATCTTTGCAGCAATCCTCATGGTCACATGATTTACATTTGGATGCTTGACAACTGGTTCATACTGGAACTGTCATTCCAGTATCCCAGGGTTACGTGATAATCTTTTGTGAACTGACAAGCAAAGCCAATGGAGAAGCCAGATTCATTTAACAACCATGTTACTAACTTAACAACTACAGTGATTCACTTAACATATGTGGCAAGGAAAGTCATAAAATAGGGCAAAACTCACTTAACAAATTTCTCACCGAGCAACATAAATCCTGGGGTCAATCATGGTCGTAAGTCAAGGATTACCTATAAGGCCTCTGATTAAAGCCCAACCTAGAAACACGTGGGCAATAGCATTGGAAGTCACATATCTTCTTAGCCCGGCAACACAAAATGGCCTCGGAGCATGATGCTCAACAACTGGAATGGGGGAGTGAGCATGTATAATGCAACTGAACACGTTCAGTAGAAATTGGGCCGACCTTAGGCTCTAATGGTGTAATCATCATGGTGCTGATGAAATTCCAACATTTGTATAACATTTTATCGTCAAAATCTTGCCATTGCATCCTATCGCACAACAAGACAGGATGATCCACAACACGCTGCACAGCTCTCCTGGATAGAAAGGGCAACTTGATTAAGGAAAACAAGGCTGAAGGAGTGAGGATGCTTGAAAACAGCCATTGTATTGTATCCTCAAGTGGGGAGGGTGCCAAGAGCCAGCTGGTTTTACTTATTTCCTAGTAGAAGGCCAATTGGCTGGTTGTAAGTTGTTTTCTGGCAACAAGAATGTTTCTTGCTGTAGACATGGTCCCATCTGGGATCTGGCTTTAAGAAGGCAGTTCTGTAGTTACACAAAGAGATCATATTTTTCCTGTGAACTGAGGAGAGAGTCGAGGAGTGACGAGGATGATTAGAGAATTCCCAAACTTTCTATAAGCCCACAGTCCTACAAGATCAGTAACTTGAAACAAGGATGTTAGTTTTTAAGAAATGTGAATAAAGGTTTCATAGCTTAGTTAGCGTGGTACAAATCAAATAAGCAATTTGCTTAAAGTATAGAGCAATGTTTTGCTACAAGAATTCTGAAAATATGAATGTTCATCTATGCCTGTTTCTGTTTTAGGAAATCATTTCTACACCTTTAATAGATTGAAAATAATCAGCCACTCATATTTTTGACCCATTCATGCAAGAAAATGATAAAACCTAATTTTTAAACACAGTAGACATTGAGGGGGAAAAAGTTATATGATTAGAAATACATATCACAAAACATAGTTAGAAAAGGGTGCAAGCAACCTACATTTATTTAGATTATTAGGCTTTTATGTGCTCCATAGACATTGAAGGGTAGCAAATTCTTTAGTTTGAAAATAATAAAATAATGTTTAATAATCAAACCACCACAAAATCAATAGTATATAAGCATTACAATTATAATATTTCCCATCTATCTCTCTGGTGTTTTCTCTCAATCTTAGAATAATATTCTCATACGCCAAACCCTCTGGAAGAGCCAGGTTTTAGTAGCTTCCTAAAATTCTAAGAGACAATGGACCCCTCCCTGTTTCTAGGGCTTTTGTTTCAGAGAAGAGGGATTGTAATGAAGATGTGGAGTGACAAGGACACGAGCGACGCAACTGGAACATAAGCTGAACCTGACCATTACTTTCATCTTCATTTCCATCAGGAGTTGTGAGTTCAGAAATACCCTCAGGTATTTCTCTATAGGTTGCAGACCCACATTTTGAGTCAAAGATGGGCATACTCTAAAAGCTGAAAGCTACCAATTTTAAATTCTCATATTTGATCCATGGAGGTTAGCCAAGGAAAGTGTACTACTGCTTACAGTCCCCACAAAGGTGATCCACAACAATCTTCATCCCAGCCTGAATCCTAATTAAAAGCATCCAGATAATCTATTTCATCCATAGTTCTCTTTAACTACTGGTTCATCAGCTGGTTCAACCATCTTTCCAAGAAAGGGAAAATTGGAGGCAATTTAAAGCTTGGTCTATGGAGATTCTCAGTCATCCAGGTCATGGTTGTCCGAAAGATGCTTTTTCAAAAGGCAACTGGACTTTCTTGTTTTTCTTTGAGGACATTTCACTTCTCATGCAAGAAGTTTCTTCAGCTCTGACTGGATGGTGGGGAATGAAAGGATTTATATTCCTTGCAAACAGCTGGTCATTTGCATTCTTTTAGAGAGTCCTTGAGGCCACTTGGAGATTTATCTGTGTCATCTGAGTAGTGCAAATGGGTGTGGAGACAATACAGTCCTTTCAGAAGTTCCAAGAATTACAACATAGTCCTTTCAACAGTTCCAAGAAGGCTCCACACCCATTTACAAAGAAAAACAAAGTCCAGTTGCCTCTTGAAAAAAACACCTTTGAGGTAAAAGCATTGCTTCTTAAGGATAGGTGCACTGTTGCAAGTATCCTCTCTCCCAAAGAAATATTCACCAAAGCTCTAACCTAGCCTATTGTTACCTTTCTGACTGCTTTCTTGAGGGAGATTCACACAGATCACAGTAGTATTACAGTGAACCTGTTCCACTTCCCTGAGATCTACATCTCATAGCTTCATTAAAATTTCTGATTTGATATTCCCATATAGATATTAAATCACGTTTGGAGGGCACTGAACTGGGTTTTACCAACAACAAAGCTAGCAGAGATTAGGGTATTCCAGTGGAGTTATTTAAAAATCTAAAAGGCAATGCTGTTGAAGTGCAGCACTCAATATGTCAGTAAATTTTGAAAATTCATCAATGGCCACAAATTGGAAAAGGTCAGTTTACATTCCAATCCCAAAGAAGGACAATGCCAGAGAATGTTAAATTGCATTGTAGAATTGCACTGATTTTACACACTAGTAAGATCATGCTCAAAATCCTACAAACTAGCCTTCAGCAATATATGAACCAAGAATTATCAGAAGTACAAGTTGGATTTTGAAGAGACAGAGGAATCAGAGATCAAATTGCCAACATTCACTGGGTTATGGAAAAAGTAAGGGAGTTCCAGAAAAACATATGCTTCATTGACTAAATCCTTTGATTGTGTTGATAGCAACAAACAAGAAGCAACAGTTAGAACCAGACATGGGACAACTAATTGGTTCCAAAATGGGGAAAGGAGTACAACAAGGCTGTATATTATCATCCTACTTATTTAAGTTATATGCAGGGTACTTCATGCAAAATACCAGGCTTTGTGAATCAGAAGTGTGCTGGCAAAAATACCAACAACCTCAGATATGCAGACCATACATATCTATTGGCAGAAAGTGAATAAGAACTAAAGAGCTTCTTGATGAATGTGAAAGAAGAAAGTGTAAAGGTTGGCTTGAAACTCAACATTACAAAAACTAAGATCATGGAATCTTTTCCCCTCACTTCCTGTCAAATAGAAGGAGAAGAATTGGAATTGGATTTTATCTTCTTGGGCTTCAAGATCACTGCAGACAGAAACTGCAACCATGAAAGTAAGAGATGCTTACTCCTTGGGAAGAAAGCTATGGCAAACCTAGACAGCATATTAAAAAGCGAGACATCACCTTGCCAACACCTGTATAGTTAAAACCAGAGGTGGTATTCAGCAGGTTCTGACAGTTCTGGAGAACCAGTAGCAGAAATTTTGAGTAGTTCAGAGAACCAGCAAATTTCACCTCTGACTGGCCCACCCCCATCTATTCTCTGCTTCCTGAGTCCCAGCTGATCGGCTGGGTCTTCTTTTGTTGCCCCGCACAGGAGAACGGAGCTGGAAAGCAGGTTAGTGGGGTGGGGAGGGAATGGGATTTTGCAGTAACCTTCCCCTGGAGTGGGATGGGAATGGAGATTTTGCAGTATCCTTCCCCTACCATGCCCACCAGGCCACGCCCACCAAGCCATGCCAATCAAGCCACGTCCACAGAAATGGTAGTAAAAAAAATTCCACCACTGGTTAAAACCATGGCGTTCCAAGTTGCAATGTATGGCTATGAGAGATGTACCATAAGGAAGGCTGAGCGCTGAAGAATTGATGATTTCAAAGTGTGGTGTGGAGGAAGATTCTTGAGAATCCCTTGGATCGCAAGATCAAATCAGTCAATGCTAAAAGAAATCAATCCTGACTTGTTTGAAAGGACAGGTATTGAAGCTGAAGTGGGAATAGAGGACTAATTGAAGAAGACCCTGATGTTGGGAAAGATGGAAAGCAAAAGGAGAAGGGGATGGCAGAGGATGAGATAGATAGTGTCATTGACACAATAGGTATGAGTTTGGGTAGGCTCAGGGAGATAGTGGAGGACAGGGTCTTTGTATGCTGGGGTCCATGTGGAATAGAACATGACTTAGTGACTGATCAACAACAACAACAACAACAAAAGAAGTGGATCTTAAACTATTACAAAGTGTCCTACAAAGAGGAGAGGTAGACTGTAATAGCTATACTAACTGCACATTAAAGTCATGAAGATTGAAGCAGTGTAGAAGTTGAAGTAATACATAAATGAATATATAAGTAAGCAAAACTTTGCTGATTTCTATACACAAAACGCAGTCTTGAATATTTGACAACTGGTTTGCTTGGGCTGTGTTTGGAAGCTAAAACTAAGGTTTCCTAAAGATAAACATTGGGGGAATAATAATGGGTCCATCCTTCCCACCCTCCCAAATTTGTCCTAAAATTTGTTTTTATATACCTACTGCCAATGAACTTTGGTTTATGTATGTAGAGATTATCTGCAGAAAGTCAATATTGCAAAACTGTGAAACTTTTCCTTCTGAAGGTCCTGGCTAATGCATTAAGGAAGAACTGGTTTAAACTTTTGCTGTTGGCTCTTCCCTCCATAAAATACTCTTTAAATACAGTATTTATTTACAAAGCTTTAATAGAGCAGAGAAACATGGAATGGCATTTCCCAATACACAGAGAGAAAAGTGTGAAAGGAAAGAAGGAAGAAGATTGAATTATTCAGTGATTGGATCCAGAATTACAGCTTTCTCAGCATTGAATGGAGCAATGGATGTGGGAGATAGAGGTTAAAGATCTTTCTTTAGATAATTCAGCTGAACTCAGCTATAAATTCTAGTTGCTGAAATACTAAATTTTTATATTTGGTTTTTAGAAATCAAATGGCAATATCTTCAGAGAAGAAGTGCTGCCAGACAAGGAGTTTATTGTGCAATCAACCTCCTTGATGAAATTTTACATGGTTTACATAGGACATTGCTTCCAATTACTGCATAATATCTCTCTTGTTTTTCCCTCCCACCAACACACAATAGTTTCCATTTTTTAATAATGAAAAATAGCATAGTTATATAATACTTTTTTACTAGAACAAGGCTCTATTTGTCTGGAAGCACCTCAGCAATTATTTCCTTAGATAATTATTAATATTCCAAACCATGATCATATAATCATCAGGGTCTGGATGGGTGAGCAGAAACATTAAAAAAAACCAAGAATGATCATGCTAGATCGAACCAAATGAGCATCTAGTCCAGGGTTGAAGGTCAAACAATGAATGTGGGGATGGCCTCCTTCCTCCCCTTGCAGTGAAATCTACTGGCAAGGCACAATAAAAATAGCCATCCTGCCACGTCCACAACAACAGGCCATCAGAGATATCACGCCTTTGAATGTGAAGGTTCATTTCTAGGTAGCTTTTCATTCACCTTCCTTCCCTTTACCCCTTCTATTGAACAATTCACTGAACATAACCACACACTGCCAAATAAGATACAAATTCAGAACAGAAAAGAGAGTAAGAGGGAAAATAGTTGTTAAAGGAAGTAATCCAATTGGTCTTGTGAAAAATGAGAGATTGCCATCAACAGGATATCTCCCAAAACTATCCTTCACTTCCAGTGCTAGGTTGTGGTGTGGATTGGGGGTGGGGAAGAACGTTTTTCCAGTTTAACAGCACAGGGAGGTCTTTCTTTCCAGTCAGAGTGACTCTGTTCCATGTCATGATCTATGAAGGAAAGAGAAGAAAGATCAGGGAGAGGCAAAATCTGCTTTAAAATGATTATTGCAAATCAATGTAAATGTGGTTTGTGAATCTTGGGAATCCAAGTTTTGTGAAAGTGTGAAAATGTTCTTTAAAAAAAAAATCTCCAGGATTTTTATTTGAGAATTACAGCATAAAAATTGGAAAGGCAAAAAAGCTAGCTCATAGAATCCAGGCTGAGCGGGATGAAATCTTTGTTATACATAATTCCAACCCAGATCAGATTTCTCTTTTTTTTGCCTCAGAGAATGATTAGGGGTTTTGCATCTATAGAAAAGTCCTCTTTCCTTATGGTCCTAGAGCTGTCCCTGTTTCTCAATTGCCCTGGCTTCAAGATCCATTAAAACAAAGAACTGGGTAACTTATCCTTCTATCAAGCAAAAATGGAAATAACAGAGAACCCCTTCATAAATACGCAATTGGGACCTTTGTGATAGAGGAAATGCAACAAATTGTTTGCAAAAAAAAGAGAAGGCCTAACATTGTGCTATTTAGCAAGCATTGCAATCCAAGGGCCAGCTCCATTACCTGTTAATGGTGGATCTCCCTCTTCCTGTTTCACATCTGTCTCCTCTTCCAGGCCATCACCCTCTTCTGACTTATCTGATCCAGTAGGGACTTCCTCAACAGATCCTGCAAAGGATACTTTCTGCCCACCTAAAGAGATCAGACTTCATTGTCACAAAAAGAAAAAAGAAAGAAAAAACCTCCTGCTCCTTCAGAAAGCTCAGGGTTACACTCAATACATATTTCCACTTCATCATGATCCAGTCCTAGAGTTAAACCACCCTCTTTCTGAAAGAAAGATAAGCACTTAAAATATTTATTCAAATTCCACAAAAGCAACATACATAATTTTAAAAGCTCAAAGAGCTGTTTATATTAGTCCTTCATTATAGCTATTTAATCTAATCTACATATAAGGTCTATTATTCTCATCTTCATACAGGTAGTCCTCATTTGTGAACCATTCACAGTTTTACAATGGTGAAGGAAAAGTAACTTTGTGATCAATCCTTGCATTTACAGCTTTTGCTGGTATTTAATACAAGGAAAGTGAACTAAAATTGAAAAATTGTGATGGTTAACTTAGCAATTGCTTAGTTTAAGGACCAAGGTGCTGATTCCAATTTTAGTTGCACCTAAATGAAGACTACCTGTAATTGATTCAGTGATTCAGAAACTGCTGACTGCAGATAATTTATTGTTTTAGTACTACTTCAAAAGGTAGCAGAAATAGGGGAGGATTTCAAGGTGAGACAGAAAGCATATAGTGACCTGGGCTGTGGTTCACTGATATTTTCAAAATCAGCAAATCCTAGCAGAGATGCAAAAAGCATTGTGGGTGATGCAAACAAGTTGTTTTGGCAAATCTCTTTTACTCACATGCATTCACAACACACACACACACACACACACACACACACACACTTAAATTCATGAAGTAGCGCTTCACACAACATAGTCTCAGCAGGTCTCTCTTTTGCACCTGTATTTTCTGCAACCATCTTTCCTTAGGGATGCAGTTTCCATCTGGGAACCCTCAGTGATATGCTGAATAATTTGTTCTTTGTTAAGTTACTGATTAAAGTAGGAACATGGAAATCTTGTAATAATGGGATTTACACAACAGATTGTCACCAATAAAAGTGAGAGTAAAACTGCCTGCATTATCCTTAATGTTTTTTAATGTAAACTGCCAAAAGGAAAACATGTACAGAATGACAAGACTCAAAGAGATTCCTAAACTTGAGAGGAGGGGAAACTATTGTTCTCATTCCCACACATGAATATTCTCCATGCAGAATGTCTTGTCAATGTGACAAATTATCTTTATTTTACAATGAACAGAACTTTCAGACTTTATACAATAGTAGAATTGTCACAAGCAGGAGCTTTCAAGAGCTCAGAGAAGCAGTTACTGACAGAAATTCCTGGCAAAACGATGTCCCCTGAGTCACAAATAAGTGAATAAATGACTGAACAACTACTGCTACTTACATATCTCATTTGCTGTGCTGTGGGAGTTAACCTTTCTTTCTCAACAAGCCTTTGATTCTGACCATTGCAGTTCTGACCTTATGTGGATAGGAATTCAGATTTGATCTCTGCTTCTGTTTTCTAATTTGCCTCTGTCTGATGTAATTGCTATTTAGTGCCAGTGGGAATGTTTTTATTTTTGTAATTTTGCCAATTACAGAATAAAGGATTTTGGGAATATGTGGTGGAGCAGAAAAGTTAGAGCTCTTTTTAAAAACATGCTGTAGACTTTAATTTTTTAATGTCTATAATTAAATACTTTATACCATAATTTAATTTTTATTTCGATCATGAAATTGTTTTACTTTGTTTGATGCTGTAGGAATACATTTTAACTTGGTGTAATTATGGCCAAAATATTGTTCCTCAGAGATTATCCTCCATTCTTTGTGAAGTTCAATCACTGTTTCTCTTTGTGTATGTTATGCATTTTCTCTAGCAGAGGTGCATGTGGACAAACACTTAAGCACCATGCAGTTCCCAGGCTTCCCAGCCTGGTGCTTTGCAATGGAATGGATCACAACAATTACTCAATTCCATGCAAATATGACTTTTACAACAAATTGGAGGTCTATTGTTTGCCATTTGATAGACTGAAGCTGCTGGATTCTGTTGGAATGGTTGTCTTTAATAAAAATAACCTTGTTTCTTGGCCTGTGTGACAGGAATAAATGGAGCATACAGCAAATCACCAAAAGCCCTCACCAATATACAGTATAATAGTGAAGGGAGTGGTGATTGTGATCCATAGCATGGAACTATAATATCATGAGCATCTCCCAATTTTTATGTACAAACTATTGGAGAATAAGCAATTGCTCTATTTGGTGCATTGCTTTCCGTGACATTAATCAAAACACCAGCTGCACTTGCTGACAGTTAAGCCATAAAATGCATTTCAGTGAACCTTATTGCAGTTCAATTGACTCAAATGTTCTCTCTGCAAAAGCCAGAGAATTTGATGGATAATGGCATGGGGACTTGAAGGATTACAGGATTGCTGCACTGATATTGTATTATACTAATGAAGGATGGAGAACCAGTTTGGTGTAGTGATTAAATGCATCAGGATACAAACCAGGAACTTGTGAATTCTACTCCTGCCTTAGGCACAAAGACAATTGACCTCTTTCTCAGTCCTGGGAAGAAAGCAATGACAAATCCCTTCCAAAATCATGCCAAGAAATCTGCATTTATCCAGGCAGTTACCAGGAGACAAGGCAGATTCAAAGGAACACACACACACACACACACACACACGAGTCACAATGTCCATCTACATGTTATTTCACACACACACACACACAGAGAGAGATTACATGTATTGTCCTGTCATATGAATCATACAAATTACAACTCAGTGCCATCCAAATGTGTTAGTTTCTGAGGAGATTATGAGAATCAGTCACAATTTACCTGGAGGCACCCAGACCAATGCATAACTTACAAGCTGAATGGAAAGGATAATTTATAACTTACAAGATGCGTGTTGTAAGAATCCAACACCCAGACAATTCATTCTGCAGTGCAAAAGCTGAAATCTATGACCTATACAAATTATGCAAATTAAGCAATGCTTCATATATTTACTTTGCATAATATTACTTTTGTCTATCACATGGAAGCAATAAGGAATATAGTGGAATCACAGAATCATCACATGTTCAAGTAGTAAACTCTCTCATACTCTTAGGTATGACATTGTCTTTTTTTAAAGTCCAACTGTTTAATTTTGACCAGTTTAAAATAGAAATAGATTTGCTCAAAAACATATGTTAGATTGTGGACTGTGATAAGATTGTAGAGTAAATATACTGTATATACTCACAAACAAGTTTACAATTATAGGTGCCAAAATACACCCCAAAATTGCGTTGAGTTTATGCATGAGTGTATATAATAATTCTGGTACTTACCTATGTTCCATACCTGTAAGCCATTCATAGATAAGTCAGCCCTTGAATTTTTCACCAAAAATATGGACAAATGGTATATAAGTCAATTGTGAACATTAAAACATACCAACATTTTGAGAGCTTGGCTTATCTGTGGGTAATACATTTTTCATGGTATTTTATGGTAATAAAAAAAATTGAAAGGTCGGTTTATCCATGAATGGGCTAACATGGTAAATCATGTGAAACCAGTGATATGCATACTATTCTACAGTCATAATTACTCTAAATAATTATTACAATTATTCTAAAATCTTGCTTTCAGCAGACAAAAGAAAAATCCTTTTGTGCTTAAGAGTAAAACTTTAAATTTTAAGTGGCTGGGGATGCATTTGTTAAATTCAGCTCTATCCTAAGATCTTTGTAGAGATGGACTGCTCATAGAAGCGGTTATGACAAGTCTTGTTTACCCTCCAAATATCCTATTGATTTAGCCCTATTGGTATTCTGGCTACTGTTTTTCAGAGGATGCTTGCATAACTGTAGAAAATAAGTCTTTAGCTGAGGGAAGTTGAGCCACAGAATGGAGAAATTCTTTCTGATCTCTGCAATCACATACTTGCTTGGAGCCCACATTGGAATCTTCTTCAGTCAAGGAAAATATTTTGATGGGAAGTATTCCGGGGTGGGATTCAATTTTTTAACAACCTGTTCTGTGGGCGTGGCTTAGGTGGTGGGTGTGGCTTGGTGGTCATGTGACTGGGTAGATATGGCTTGGTGGTCATGTTATTGGCTGGGTGTGGCCAACTCAATATCACTCACATTGAGGCACGCATCTCCTCGCCTGGCCTCTCATGACTGTGGGGATGCTGCAACAGTCATAAGTGTGAAAAATAAGTCATTTTTTTCAGTGCCATTGTAACTTTAAATGGTCACTCCACACAAGCAAACTACCAGCAAAGGAGGGGAAAAAACTCCAGAGAAGTTCCTGAGACAGGAAGTCTAGTCCTGCCAAGAATGTAATAAGGGTTAACGGAGAGGCAGTTTCTGTAAGCAACACTAGAATGTTTCCTTCCTGCCTTCCTTACAGGATTAGGCCAGTAATTTCTTCTAACCGGTTCTCCGAACTGCTTAGAATGTTAACAACCGGTTCTAGCGAATAGGTGCGAACTGGTAGAATTTCCACCCCTGGAAGTATATACTTGCAAGATACATTTCTGGATGTGGTTTTTCACCATTTCCTTTAGATAGCCATGTTAGCATAAGTGTTTGGATTCTTCTCAAAGGACAATATTTTTTTAATAAATTATATACAATATTTTATATTGTCATCACTATTAACTCCAGTATTAGGCCCTGCGGCATCAGGAGTTCTATGTTAAACTTATTATATTGTTTACTGAGAGAGTCTCCCAAGTCATTTCTCACCATGGTGATGACTCCTTTGCTTGTGAAGACCTTTTATTGCATTGCTGAGATTCGCAGGATCATCTCTCGTCCTGCATGATTGTCACCACCCACCATTTTCAGACCAACCTTCCTTTTATCATCCAATGACCCGATAAAGACAACCAGATTATTTAACTACCTTATATGTTCTTTTCTTTCTGGATTTTGAATCATCATCATATCCTTTCAACCTTCTCCCTGAGAATATTACATCCTGCACAAGACAGTTTCTACAGTTTTGAGAGCTGTTAGGGTCTGAATTTCATAAAGTCA